CCCCTCCCATCCTCCCTCCTTCACCTCCCATCCTCCCTTCCTCCCTCACTCTCTTACTTCCTCCCTCCCATCTTTCATCCCTCTATCTCTCTCCTTTCCTTCCTTCCTTCCTTCCTCCCTTCCTCCCTTCCTTTCTCCTTTTTTCCCATGCTTTCTCCTTTCCTCCCTTCCACCCTTCCTCCCTTTCTCCTTTAATCTCTCCCTTCCTCTTTCTTTCCTTCCTTCTTCTCTTCCTTTCTTCCTTCCTTCCTTCTCCCTCCCTCCCTCCCTCCCTCCTCCCTCCCTCCTCCCTCCCTCCCTTCCCCTTTCTCTCTGTCTTTCTTCCTTCCATCCTTGCTTCCTAACTCCCTCCCTCCCTCCTTCCTCTTCCCTCTTTTTCTCTCCCTCCATCCCTCTTCTCCCTCTCCCTCCCTCCCTCCCCTTCTCTCCCTCTCCCTTCTCTCCCTCTCCCTCCTCTCCCTCCCTCCTCTTCTCTCCTTCCATCCCAAGGACTGTTCCTCTGTTTGTTGTAAATTTATGCGTATTGTATATATATTTTTTCTTTCAAAGGCAGTTTTGAAAATATTAAAGTCAGGTAACATAGCCTATACATCCTAGGAATAGATTAATTTGGTAACCCCAAGTAACCGCCCCTAGCAATGAGCACGGTGAAAATAAACCCTCTTTCGTTTGAAATCTCACTGCACTTTACTTACAGTGTCGCTGAATTTAGTTTCATTGCATGAAAATGCGAAGGAGTTGGGTTGCAGTTGGTTGTTCGAACCACAACTTGATGGTAGAGAGAGGTTTAACTGTTCATATATTCCCAGATCACAAAAAGAAACCTGAAAAATGATAGCGAGGCCATGAAACTCGTGAACGCTGATTGGAGTGCTTGGGCACCTGATGGAAAATATGTTTACATATGATCAACATATTAATATTGTAACACCTGATGTATAATGATTATTGAAACAGAATTATAATTTGAAATATTTGTACTTTTTCTATGGTCCCATATGTTTGTAGAAGTTATCGTACATCATACAAGTCATGGGACGACATCTTTGTTTTGTGAAGAAAGGACGCCAGGATACATCAATTTATGTTTTTACGAAACCCAAGGAAACGCCAAGAATGCGAGTAATTAAAGATTAATACATATACTTTCTTTTAGAGAATAGTTGAGGTTAAATCAAATGTTTATTTTTGTTAGATTTACTTGAAGAAAGTCAAGCTTTTCAAACGATGTGCTCTTGATATGGCATTGTTTAGAATTTTGCTGTTCAGAATATGTCATTAATCATTCAGTTTAGTAATCCTACCAATATTATGTGATTTCTGATGATACATTCTTCTTATTTAGAGGTAGGAAAGAACTTGTCAGTTAATTTTGGTGATAAAATACAAGCACCTAACCTAGGCCTGTTACCAGAGCTAGGCTGTGTTATTGTTTCTTTTATACTTTAATGAATTTTGTATACCTGATTTGTGGTTCGATCAGCTTATTTGACAAGCGGCCTTAGTGAGTTCCAGATGTTTCTTGTGAAATATTGATGATAGTTTAAACCTATAACAAGTAATTTACCATATTTGAAATTTCATCTTTTGGCAACACTTTATCAAATATTAGATGAGTGTAAAGTAAATGCTGGAGAGATATAACTTTGCTGTTGCTTCACATAACAAGTGATAAGTGAAATGGAATAGTGTATCATTTATGTAATATGAGTCAGCTGTATTGATGGAAGTCAATTTTTGTTTTAAACTTTAGAAATTTGATTATGAATATCTTGTTTTCAGTCACCTAGTAAGTGGGAAGAAAGTGATGTTAGGAAATGGCACCGACTTCACGAAAAATACTCTATTTAGCTAGAAATCATAGATTGTAGTAGCAAATTATGTTATCATAAATCATTTTTATTACCAGATGTGTTGATCTAATAGTAGTAGATGTCGGGATATTCAATATTGGGACATTTCAAAGGATCGTAGATCACAATTTCAGCAGGCACACAGTATGGGTACTCTTTTAGCTGCACAACTAGTGATTCTTCATATGACTTTGTAGCTTTGGTTTTTAAAGAATCAAAGTATTCATATGCTTTTCTTTGCTTAAGCTGCTAGCAAGGTATCTGTGGGCGATGGGTTCATTTTGACCAAGTGGAATGGTAACTCCCAGTCATGATGTCACACCGAATTGGTGTATATAGATTAACATAATGCTAATATGGCTAGTTTTTTACCCATAACTAAAACCATAGCTTTCACGATCAGGGACATTTTCCTTCAATTTGCATCTAAGAGAGGTTTTCAAATACCCAAATGTTTTCATTATTCATGAAAATAGATACAATGATTTAACAAGCACAAATTTGCAGAGGGAGACAGAAGAAAAGAAAAAAGATAAAATCAGAATTATTTGTGGTGTGAGTGCTCACTTTGGACCTTAGGCCCGTACTTTAAAAACCTTTCGCCAGGGCTGGCGAAGGGTTTCGCCGGGCGATCCGGAATTTCGTACTTTTAAAATCATGCCTGGCGAACGTTCACCAGGGCTGGCGAAAGATCATATTGGAACAGCCTGGCGAAGAGAGCTCTTTGAATACCATTTTCTTGCTTTCAAATTATAAATTAGTAACATATTTGTGTATGATAGGATGTAGGAATCACATTGAAATTATAAAATATCTTAAAATCATAATTTGTTATGAAATAACGTATATACGTATTTTTTTTCAAGACCTTCGATGTTCCAGTCGAGAGCTCAAGACATCAGCTGTATTCCTACCCCCCTACCCTACCCCCCCACCCCCGAGATGACTTATTTAGATTTAGGTTGTTATTTTGGTTGTAAGGATAATGTTCTATTCACAAATGTTACCAGAAGTGTTTTTTATGGCGGCATGTTTACTTTTGGCTATAGAAACAGAGCTGTAGTGCTCCACCGCCCTATAAATGAGGCGTCTTTAATGATACCTTGTAGGCCTACAGTTCAATATCTTACATCAGTTAGGAATAGTAAAATAGTAATTTTTAAACTCTTGTTAAAGTATAAAGTTATTTTTTTTTTATAAAAGTATAAGGTTGATATAGTATAGTATAAAGTACTTTTAAAACCTTTCGCCAATGCTGGCGTTTGCCTGGCGAAGCTTCGCCAGGCGAACATCTGAGTGAGGGAGGCCTTACTTTTAAACTAAGGCAGGTGTTTGCCAGGCCTGGCGAACGAAAGGGATCGCCAGGCGCTAACATCTTGGATTCCTGATAAATCTAGCGCTTCGGCGAATGAAAAAAAACGCGAGAAAAAGCAAAAGGTTTTAAAAGTACGGGCCATAAAGTTAACCTTGTTATAGTATAAAGTGTAGTATAGCATAAAGTATAAAGTTAATTTTGTTATAGTATAAAGATATTTTCAACTTCTTTGTTATAGCATAAAGTTAAATTTTAACTCCTTTGTTATAGTATAAAGTGAGACTATTGCGGAAACATTTTCGTCTTCTCTCGGGGTTAATAATTAAGTTTAGGTTATGTTATGTGCACTGCAGATGTAAACAAATTTGCGCTACATTTAGCGGGAATGCAAGATGTTAGCGCCTGGCGAACGTTGGGTTTAAAAGTAAGGCCTCCCTCACTCAGATGTTCGCCAGGCGAAGCTTCGCCAGGCGAACGCCAGCACTGGCGAAAGTTTTTAAAGTACGGCCCTTAGTGTTCACTTAGATCCCCCATTGGGTTCCAGATCCTACTACTCTGCCCCCAGCCCCAACCTTGCCATCATTGAGAACTCGAAGGCGATCTAACAAGACTTTACGAACAAGCTGGGTACCATCCACTCTTGGCAGGCAATTGAAGATGGAATACTTAGGGTTGAGGCTTCTCTCTAGGCAAGTGAGGCCAGAAGCACCTGAGCCCCCCAGTCTTCAACGGAATGATACTGGTATGTGTTTTCCCAGATTTTGGATCCTGCATTCTCTCTAGCTTCACAATTATTTATTTAATTTTTTTATGTTATCTTCTCTTTTGCTTCTATTTTTACCCAAATTTCCTTTCTTTAATCTGATACTGTCAAATCTTTTACAATGAGCGTATTAAAATTAATGAGAATTGAATATCTCTCCTTCAGAACATTTTGATTTTCCTCATTTGTATGTACTTTTAAGGGGAAAAATACTCCTCAAGGACTCTGTCAAAGTATTACATATTTATGAAAGGTCATAAAATACTAGATGATACATTTACATATAGTGAAGAAATAAATGTTATTATGAAGAAATGATAAAATTACAGCCTAATCATCACCACTTTGTTACTGTGTACATCTAAACTTGGATCTGTAGAGTAAGAATATATTTATGTCCATTGGCTGGCCCCAGTATAACTCTTAATTTATATTATTGGAGAAATGCACAAGATGAATATTTTTTCCAAAAATAGTAATACTTGAGTATAATTATAGACAAAGGCTTAATGTAAGTTATTATGTTGCATTCGGAACTCCTCGTCTTGCTCATCCAGACAACTTGTCCAGGACCAGCAGGACAAGTGGGCCGCATTCGGAACCTCCAAGACTATTTCTGCCCAGAATGCAACCGGCTCGAATGTAAACATTCACTTTTTTATCATACTGGTGTCTTTATTTTACACACTGCATAGGTTTTGTAACTGATAACACCAATAAAGGGTCATGAAATTACCTACCAATATCTTGTGGTTACCTGCAACTGTCAATGTTTACATACAAAATCTATTGTGACGTCATCTCTTCCTGCTCCCCCAGGTTCGCAGGAGAGCGAGATGGATGAGATGGACAACTTGTCCAGGAGGAGATAGTAGAGGTTCTGAACAGTCAAAATATCTTGTCCAACTGGTCTTCGCATAAATTGAGGTCAAGTTTGAATCTGTGAGTTGCCACTTCAGACTCTAAGGCAGCCCTTATGAAATACATTATGGGATTCTCCACAATTGGCACATGGACATGACAGTGCAGTGCAGTTTCATCGATCATAACCAGGTTGGGCACACAGAGGGCATCGGGTCCTGGAAGGGGAGTGTTTGGCAAAATGGCCTAGACACAAACAATTCTGACATTGACAGAGTGGAGGTTGATATGGTATACAGGGAAGGATTATCCACCAATGTAAACCTTAAAGGTAAGGTGAAATCATGTTTATGGAAAATAATCTTGGGCTATTGATGGTGGACTTACAATGGCCTCTATGGGGAATGATGTATCATTGTACTGACACCATATCATAGTCCATGAGTAAGTATTCTCCACAATCTGACCTATCCTTGTCTTTCTTGTATTTTTCCTTCAAACAAGGACTCATGCAAGGTTTCACACTCACTCTTCCCATACATCTTCAAACCAACCATCAGGTATTATAGGTAAGTGATCACCTATGTCAGCACCTTCTTTCATGCAAAATTGTACCTGCATTATCTAAATACAGTTATTAAGCAAACTGTCCTCCTCACCTCACCCACAGTTATGTTTCCTGTCGGGTCTCTGATGATATTTATTAAGTTTGATAGCTTGATATAGTTTTGATATCCCCCTCTTGTTGATAAGATGTCAACTTTGTTGTGTCATTCTAGGCATTTATAGGATCCACCCGACATTAACAATTAACTAGTATTCCTTGACTTTGAATTTCCTGTTTTATTAGCAAGATAGAGAGAAATAGACACCACCTTCTTATAGAGCATAAGAAAGAGAGCCATGAACAACACAGGTACAGCTGCAGTAGCCTCATATTTACTGTTAAAGGACAAAAACACCTGCTGCATATCAATTGCTCAGAGACAAAGTCCACAACACAGAATTCTGTTTTCTATAATGATAATAATCATAAAAGAATGATAAAACTTTATTTCCAATTTACAGTGGGTATTCATTACAATAAACAAATATACACCATTATAATTGTATGCAGGGGATATAACATATTCATAAAATGGATGCAAAATATGTTTGATTGAAAGAGATTGTACATTATTCTCTGCTTAATTGTAAAAGGATATCCAAACATAAAATGATATCCAAACAGATATAGAAAGATTCTTTGTAGGATGCAATATTTGATGTACAAAATTATCACAGTTCAAGTATAAGTAATCACATATATATTGGTTCATTTCTGTAAAATGGGATTGATTTAAGTTGTTAATATACATTTCCAAGTTAGACTTCAATTTGATATTATACAATAGACTCCTTGCTATACAAGAAATTATGATCATGTATCAAGAGATGATAAAATGGGAAACACACACAGAAAACATATCACAACATGGTATTGAAATACATATTCAACATAGAATTACATAGACTATTATATTATATTCTACTCTTACTTTAAAATAGTTTTAGTAATAGTAAATATTGGAGTAAAAAGTAATATTTAGAGTTGCATTTTACATATAGTGTATTATACAAAGTTTGATTTAGTCATGTAATAGATATTTCTTTAGTTTGTCTTTAAAGGCAGAGACTGAAGCAGTATTCTTTATGTGTACTGGAATCTGATTCCATATCTGTGGGCCTCTCACTGTTATACTTTTTTTTTACCCGACATTGTATTTGTTCTTGCTGCAAATAAGATGGCTCTTTGTCTTTTACTTGTGCCTGTTTTATTGTTCACAGTATAAAGATTGAACAAACACTGAGGAAAGCGCTAATGCAAGCTTTTAAAGATTGAAATACATATGTCATATTGTTTCATATTTAGCAGCAAAGTTTTGCAACCTTTGGACTCTTTCAGTCTGTTTTTTTGTTGTGACTCCCCAAATTCTCAAGCAATGACTGAGACTGAATATTTATAATTGTACTACCTTTATCCATGTTGAGGTATCAAAGCTGTCTCCTATTTTATTTAGATAAAGGAGAATACCATTAACTTGTCTACTTAGTTCATCTACATGGAGTTAAAATACATATATTGATCAAAAGAGACTCCTAAATTTGTTACCACTGTCTTGGGTAGTAAATGATTGCTGTTAAAATTTATAAAAATATCATCTGATAGTTGTGAGATCAGAAGTTAAGAGCCAATAAAGATACATTATGTTTTGCTTTCATTCAAAAGTAAACCATTCCTCTGGAAACACAACTTGACAGGTGATAGAGAACTTACTGCTCTCTCAATCAGTTCTCTAGTATTGTTAGTGTCTACAGTCAGCAGTATTTGGGTATCATGAGCATATTGAACAACAAAGCAATCAGGTATATGTTCTGACATCTCTCTCTCTCTCTCTCTCTCTCTCTCTCTCTCTCTCTCTCTCTCTCTCTCTCTCTCTCTCTCTATGAACCCTGGTCAAGTGTGCTGCAGGTTTCGAGCGCTGGTCGTGGGTCCCTGGCAGTGGAGATGCGGGAAGGTAACCCTTGTTCCTCAGACTCTCTCTCTCCCCCCCCCCTCTCTCTCCTCTCTCTCTCTCTCTCTCTCTCTCTCTCTCTCTCTCTCTCTCTCTCTCTCTCTCTCTCTCTCTCTCTCTCTCTCTCTCACTCTCTCTCACTCACTCTCTCACTCACTCTCTCACTCACTCACTCACTCACTCACTCACTCACTCACTCACTCACTCTCACTCACTCACTCACTCACTCACTCACTCACTCTCTCTCTCTCTCTCTCTCTCTCTCTCTCTCTCTCTCTCTCTCTCTCTCTCTCTCTCTTCTCTCTCTCTCTCTCTCTCTCTCTCCCTCTCTCTCTCCCTCCTCTCTTTTTCCTCCCTTTGTTCTCCATAACACCATCACCCAGCCAGTTCTTAATGTCTGTTTTTTTCTATAAGTTGGCACATGCTAATAAAGGGGAGGATATAGCAGTTTTTATGTCATCAGATATCCATGGGGCTGGTGGACTCTCTCTCTCTCTCTCTCTCTCTCTCTCTCTCTCTCTCTCTCTCTCTCTCTCTCTCTCTCTCTCTCTCTCTCTCTCTCTCTCTCTCTCTCTCTCTCTCTCTCTCTCTCTCTCTCTCTCTCTCTCTCTCTCTCTCTCTCTCTCTCTCTCATCTTTGATTAATGAGGTTTTGTAGACATCCATTCAGACGTGTAAAGTTCTCTTGGGTGTGTCTAATATTTAATTTTATAAAGACAATATTTATGCCTTTGGAAGAACATGGAGAGAACGTCTTGCAGCACTAACCTAATTTTTAGAGTGGTTACATCTCCACAGATGAACTGCTTGTCCTACCAAGTGTAAATTTAGGTTTATAGGATAAGATTTGTGTTAGATGGTCAAATGTTAAACCTCAGTTTGATAGTCCTTGTTAAGACTGTCCCCACCTATAACCAAGAAAACATTCAAGTCATTTTTAGGTATGATGTCTTTCTATTGAATGTTCATCTCCCAAGCTTCTCTCATGAGTCCTATGTTGGATATGTTACGTAAAGGGAGTCAGGAACCATTAGTGTGGACTTGTGATTTACGGTATAGATTTAATAAGTTAAAGACTGCATTATTCAGTAATCTGGTGTTAAAACTTTTGTACTAAGAATGAATCCTTCTAATATAGGACAAGGAGCGGTGTTATTACTCTACATATCCAAGCAGGAAACAATTAGACTGAGAAAAAGGTATTCAGCCATGGAATGTGAATGTTTAGCCATAATGTTCGGCATTCAAAGACTCGATTATTACCTCATAGGTGAACATATTATAGAAGTTGACCATAAACCTTAATTTACATAAAGAATTATAAAGGAACCAACAACATAGGGACTGGTTAGGCATTCAATCTTCAGCCTTACTCTTTCAGAATCATTCATATAGCCAGGCAGAAAGACGTCTACTTTAGTCCCATTTGACAAGTCACAACCACCAACCAACCAAGTTCTGTTATTATTGTTGTTGTTTCATTTGGGTGTCTGAAAGTGATGAGATCCCTCATGCAGGTGTTGATATCATGGTAATCTACACCTCCTCCTCCACACCACCCCACCACCTCCTCCTCCTCCTCCTCCTCCTCCTCCTCCTCCTCCTCCTCCTCCTCCTCCTCCTCCTCTCCTCCTCCCTCCTCCTCCTCTCCTCCTCCTCCTCCTCCTCCTCCTCCTCCTCCTCCTCCTCCCTCCTCCTCCTCCTCCTCCTCCTCCTCCTCTCCTCCTCCTCCTCTTCTCCTCCTCTCTCTGGTGCTGTCAAGGACATCATGAAATACAATTTTGAGATTGAACTCAAGTGTTGCAGCATGAATATTAATTGCATTCAATATTGAGGTGTTTCAAGGCAGTTGAAAATTGTATTTCAAGTTCTTAGGGAAAAGTATAATTTGCTAATGAATATAGTGAATTGTTAAAAACAGGAATATCAGGTGGAAATAAGTATGAAAATAGCCACTTATAACTTGCAAAATATAAGACAGTGTTATGTTGCAGGATCCCAACACAAAGGGTATTCTCATCGGTTAGATTGGTGGTAGTGCTGATGAAGAATCTGCACCTGTGAGTACTTAAAAGAACATAATAGTTTAAGTTGTTTTGCTGTGTTAAGTTTCTAAGTCTTTGTTTTTAATCATTCCATTAATAGGAAGCTAGTGTGAATTGATACACTTGGGAGTTAATTCATATTGTTTATCATTGTTTATCATTTAAGTTAAAAGTAAATTATTTTTCATTTGTTTTGTTCTACAAAGGGACCTGAAGCCAAGCCTGTTTCATCCTTTATCGCCCCACCTGGTTGTTGCATGGGGCATGCTAGTGCCATCATCTCTGGAGGCAAGGGAGGTTCTGAAGACAAGATTAAGGCCCTTGAGAATGTAAGTTCTTTTCCTTTCTGTTTGTGTCATATCACATACACACACTAACCCACACATCACACACACTTGCATGTGCCCACACTCATACACAGCTTTGCATTTCTCTATCTGTATTGTATGAAACTAAGTGAATCAGACAATAAGTATTTTTTTAGGGCAGCTTACGCATTTATCTACTTAATGAGAACCGTTTTGATAAGATAATTTCTTGTAGAAGAATGGCTTTGAAGACCTGATTTTCTCAATAACCCACAGGCTGGTGTAATCATCTCGAGGTGCCCTGTGCAAATGGGAAAATATGTTACTGGCAGAAATGAAACGTCTTGGAAAATCGTAAGCTGATTGCTGGTGTGGAAACTTGGGGGAATTTACTGGATCAAGAGATGCCACATTGGTGTCCAGGTACTGAATCACTGACGGCTGGAATAGTCACTTAGGGAACACATTTTAAGCTTTTCTCTTACAGAGTTCTATTTTTTCATCCATGCAGCCATGTAAGGAATTTAGAAACCTATGACAACAGTTGATTATATTCATGAATGGTTATTTATAAGTAAATGTTGAATAAAAGTTAACAGTCAAAAATGTGTATATATTTTCATTTTATGCACAGGAATTGTTAAGATGTACCAACATTAAAGCTAAGGGGGTTAATTAAATGCTAATCAGTATCTTGCATGAATAGTTAATTTTCTCATGTATTTTGTTATCAAACACAAAGATGTTCCTATTACTGTCTTCAAAGGTAATGGCAAATCATCACTTGTTATTAATTTCATATGTTGCTTCTTACAGAGGTTAATCTTTAATCTTTAAATATATTACCCATTTTGTATTGACCAAATGTATATATGTATTTTTATCAAGGTGAAGGTTAATAAAAGATACCAGTTCAGTGGCTTTATTTTTGACATTTGACAAACTATTTGAAAACCATACTTTGTAGAGTAGCCTATCATCTCAAAACTTACAATATGAATTTATTGTATTTCTGTTAGAAAATAATAAAGTAGTTATGAGGAAATAGATGAAATAATGAGACACATGGGTTAGTTAGTGTCATAATTTGTTCATTTCTTTGTTAGTGTATGAATGAGCAAATTAATGACT